AAAAAAAAAAAAAAAAATCCATTTCCGTTCGCATATTTAAGCTAAAAAAGGGCATTTATCAATACACATTCGAAGAAAAAAAATCCATTTTCTTTCGCATATTTAAGCTAAAAAAAAGGGGCATTTATCAATATACAGCAGATCATAACAAAGAAGAATATGAACTTCAATCAAACCAATTCCACACTGCAGTTGTTGTCCAACAGAAACCAAAACTAGAAAGTTCACTCAACTCAGAAGTCCAAAGCAAATGAGAGAAACAGAAAAGATCAGACTACTCTAATAGTTTCTTATTAAATAAAAAAATAATAATAGATAAAGCACGACGATCAACATAACTACTCATGAAATGAAACTAGCAAAACCATATGGCACCCTTTCAGGCAGCACCAAAATCTTCAAAAAGATTGTACCTTTAATCAAATGTTTGACACCCCATCACAATACGTTCACAATTCGAAAAGAAGAAGAAAAAAAAACATTTTTGCTCGCATAGAAAAGCTTAGAAAAAAAGGCATTTATCAATATACAGTAGATCATACAAAAACGAAAACGAAGTTCGATTAAAGCAAATCCACACGCAGTTGTTGTCCAATACATTCCCAAAAAACAGAAAGTTCACTCAATGCCAGAGACAAAATCAAATAACCCCACAACTCACCTCCAAATTCATCCACTAATGCGCGTCAAACTATACGCAGAAACACACACACACGCGGCGAATTTTGATTACGATGGTCAGTGTGAGATGTAAAGAAGAAATGGGATTTTTGGAGTGGTTAATGTACAGTTTGGGCAAGGAAAAATGCGATTGTAAAGGATCTAACAAGGTGGCGGCGGCGGCCGGAAGGTCGTATTGATGCTTTTATTGGTGGACTTGAGTGGGCCGAGAAACGCCGCCGTCGGCTCAAGCGACCTTTTTCATGAACTGATTTATTTATTTATATTTAAGGCTCAAATTCAGGTGTCAACTGAGGAGAATTTCGTCAATATGTGTGTTAGCTCGAAATCAAATTATGATTTAATTATTTTTTATTTTTACAATTTTTTTATTCTTTATTAAATGTGTTTGCTAAGCACCATAAATTAATTAATACTTTATTTAGTTAGCTCATAAGCTTAATTTGGTATTTTTAAAAATGATTAATAATGCTATGAATTATTTATCAAAGTATGATATTTTTACAAGAAATAAATAAATATTTGTTGAAAATATATAATTATCTAGTTGTTATACTCGCCTAATAGAAGCTCAGTTATAATCATCTAGTAGATAAGTGTAAACTTGAAATGTAGTCTTATTCTAATACCCAAATTATGATATGAGCAATTTAACATATAGTGCATCTTGTGTGGTAGACCGACCTAACTATTAGACTTATATGCTCGCTTGATATAAATGAATAATAACTATTAGACTTAGGTAGACCGACCTAACTATTAGACTTACATGCTCGCTTGATATATATGTATTATTCATTATAAAATATCAAACGATAAACATAATATAAAAGATAAAGTATTTGACATTATAAAGATATATTTTGTTCAAATACCCGCTTAACAATTAAACTGTATCACACAAAAAAAACTAATTTTAACAGTGAGGTAATTTGATATGATACGGCAAATTTTTTTAACAAAAATACAAATTTACATTATAATCCTTATAAAATTTTGAATACTTGTTAAAAAATAGCATGATAAACACAAATAAGCTTGACTAAACATCAATTTCAAAAGAAAAATGATACATTGACAACCTAGTGTACAACTAGGTTGACAATACAAGTAAAAATATTTAAAAAAATAAAAATAAAAAAATACATAAGTAGATGTTTTCACTTGTGCTGTCAACCTAACTATAGGTTGAGTTGAACATTTCTCATTGTAAAAATATAAGTGTCATAAATGTTAAATATTTCACGTGATTTGATATTTGTTTTCAATTTACTTTTCATTCTCATAAATCATAAATTTTGATTGGTTTATGGAATACCTACGAATATTTATAATGTGGTGGACCGTGGACCTATGGAGCATTTTGTCAAATGCTAGATCCGCAAATTGGGAATCGTAGCAATGAATGCATCACAATTTTTGTATCTACCCACTTAGAGCATTTTTGATGCTCAATTTTGTAGTACTAAATTTACATTTTAAATCAACACATTTATTAATATTATAATTTTTCATCCTTCAATGTACAATGTGATCACAAATATTGTGATGATGTGGACATAATTAATGTCTACAATGTAGAGAAGAATATGGTTCATCCACATTCTCCTCCACATTCTAGTTAGCCAATGAAGAGAAGAGAGATAATTACTATTACCATTTTTAAGCTATTTAATTATTTGATTAATTTTATTAATTCATATTAAAATTTTAATATTTAGTAAGTAAATAATATTGTAATTTAACTACATTGTGCATTGAAGATGATTTTTCAATTTAATAGTTGTGAACTCAACATTTGTCCTACATGGTTCACAATCTACTTAATTTTTTGATATTTATCAAAATTTATCCTACTACAATAACAGAGCATTGACATTTGTCAAAATTTATCCTACTACAATATTAGAGCATTGGAAATGCTCTTAGAGCATCTCCAATGCTCAACTTTCAAAATTAATTAAATTTGAACACATGTCAATCAATGGATTAATGTTTAATCTACATGAACTGAATGTTAAAAGAATAAGACTTTCATTTGAATTGTTGCCTCCAATGCATCCATTCAACAACCATACAATTTTTATATGTAGATTTATTCACTTATTAATAAAATCAAAGAGTATATTAGAAAAAAACCATAAATTCCAATTATTATATGCATGATGTTATTTTTTGTTGATTCAGTTAATTTTTATTTATATCATCAAATTTATAAAATTATTATTTATTCAATAATTTCTCAGTTACAATTGGAATAACCACACAATAAATATTTTTTTAATCGGTTCAAAATAAAACAAAAAAAATATTAAAATTGCAATAACTCAACAAACAAATATCATGAACATGATATTTTACTTTTCAGGACATTATTATTGATAACTTTTTTAAATTTTAGTTGTAACTCATCAAATAATTATATTGTATTCAAATAAATTCTCAAATGTTTTCTTGGATAAATGTAAGGGTGGGATTTTTCAAAATATATGAAAAGCTCAAAATTTGTGTCAAATAATTATTAAAATGCTGAGTCATCATGTTAGAAAGAATGTGAGAAATTAGAAAGTGAGCTTGACAATGTTAACATTAATTTTTTACACATAAGCATGAAAGGACCCATAATTTAATGAATTGGAGGATAAATTATTCATACACTTTCTATCTAGATGAAGTGGATAACTTTTTAGTCTTTCAAAAGAATGCATTAGAGATGCTCTTAATTTTGAAACAGGTGTATGCTTTTCTTAAAAAATATAATAATAATAACAATAATACATTAATTTTGGAATGGGTCACAATCTCGACGTCAACGTGAAATTCTACGCATTCTCGGTGGTTATGAAAAAAAGTATTTATTTTAAATTTTAAATATACTTGTTTATTATTATTATTTATATTTAAAACGATTGTATAATATACTTATCTTATTTATAATAATTTTCTAACCCATATTGTATAATAACTTTGTTGATAAATTTATATAGTTGATAAATATTTTTATTATTTTTCAATTAATATCACTATATACCTTTATTTTATCATAAACATAATTATAATTGTTTATTTTACAAATGAAATATGAAAGTCAAATTGAAGCTCATTCCAGAAGATTGTTATTTGGTACTAGTGCGTGGCCCGTGCGATGCACGGGAAAACAATATTACGATTGTATTATAAATTAAATATATAAATAACATTAATCATGATTTATCCATTGTTTTTAAATTAAACCGAGTTGGACACAGTCCGACTTGATGGACCAAGAACCGGTTTATAACCAGTCTAGTTCGCTCGAATAAAATATTTGCTCTCGAATCCGTCAATACCAGTCGGTTGGACTGGTAGGATCGATACGATTTTCTAAATAAATTTTGTTATATTTAAAATTATTTTAAATAAAATTAAATATTTAAATAAAATAGAGATTAAGAAATTATTTATCAATTAGTTTAAATATTTGAATTTATAAATTTTTTAGATATCTAAGTAACACATTTTATTTAAATTTATTACAAAAAGTACTATATATATATCTATTAAAATGTTTATAAATTATAATCTGAACAAACCACAAATGATTTAATAAAATAGCTTGATTGTTTCGATGATGGTCCAGTTTTAGAAACCTTATATTTACTGTACATTAATAAATATTATAATAAAATATTATTTAATTCACTAAATATTAATAAAATGATATATAAGTATTCATAAATCATTAAACATGTTGTCATAAAAGTATTGTTAATAAGATTATTTGAAGTTTGAACTACATCACATTCACGTAATAAAATATTTTCAATATAAAATTTAAATTTAGGTTCAATAATCGATTTGGTGTGGTCGAACTGATACATAATTTAGTCACTTGAGACCAATCATGTTGTGTCAAATTTTTTGATTATATTAAATATCACCTAAAAGTAATTCAATCAACCTGAGCAGTACCCTAATTCAATCACCCGATTGATCCGAATAGATTTTTTTATTTTCTTTAAATATATTTAATTTTAGGAAATAAAAATATTTTATGATTCATATAATAAATGTCTACACCAAATGATATTATATTAAGATTATAAATTATATATCTAAAGATGAATTGATTATTTTTACTTTATGCATATTAATAAAAAATAAACATAATAACTTTCAAAAAATTAAGATTAATTGATTGATTATGCAATTTAAGAATATTTTTAGCGTTCAATATATTTTTTTAAAGGCACAAATATAAAGATCGATATTCTAAAAGTTTTGTTATATTTTGAATTGAGATTTTATATATATATAGAGACCGAAATTTTAATGTTGTTCGTTGTTTCTAAGAAAAAAATAAAAATAAAAACATACACACTTAATAAATCTTAGCCGAATTTTTCAAATAATAAAATGACCTAAAACCCGAAATTTAAGGTAGAATTTAATGTTGTATGATTTTTAAAGAAAAAAAATAAGAAAAATAATAAAACTTACTATTAATAAGCTGCATTAAATTTTGACTTATTTTTTTGCTACTATTTTTTGTAAATGGTAATTCTTATTATATATATATATATATAGATATATATATATATATATATATATATATATAGATATAGATAATAAATTAATTAGTTAAGATGTGGACATATTTGGACGTTTTGAATAAATAAGCTAAGTTGAATTCAAAATATGATTACCCTTAAGTGATTAGGTTTTCCATCATGAGTTATCCAAATATTACTGTTCCAATATTATCTCTACACTATTAATTTTGAATTCAAATTGTGATTTTTCCGTGAATAATAAACTACACAATTATTGTTTTCAAGCTTTCTATAAATAGAATGTCAAAGGTATTATTTTATTTGATCAAAAATTTCCAAAAAAATTTATCCAACAACCTTTTTATATATAGATAGATATTATATATGAAAAATTGATAACAAATACAAAAGTTATTAACTTTTAAAATATATTTTTAATTTAAGTTAGTCACTTGTTTTATAATTTAAAAATATCATAATAGACAGTCTACATGTATTACTCGAACCACCATTTAGACATAAAATGATAAAATTAAGAAGCACATAATTTGATACATAGAATTACGAAGCACTAGATGTCGACACATACACTCGGAGGAATTAGCACAATTTCACACTCAATAATTACTTTTACTTTTATTTATTGGTTTTTTTTTTTTCATGAAAAATATAATTTAAAATTTAATAAAATTATATTTTTTTTATTTGTAATATTGAATAAATAATCACAATTGTTTGTCTTTATACTTCAATATATCACCTGGGATTTGATTGATTCAAAGTGATGTGCTTTTATTTTGGAAAATGCCGAAAGGTGATAAGATTCCCCAACTTTATTATTATGTCATTACTCGATATATCACCTATTGAATTTGATCAATTATGCAATCATGAATTTCAGTTTGGCCCACATCTATGCCAAAATAGTGATAAAAATTAAAAATACATGTAAATTTCTACATCCTATTTGATTCTTTCCACACCTTTGAACCGGCCTTATCGTCCCAAATCGATACCAAAAGTGTGTCGGCAAGAATTTCCGGCGTAAAAGATTCAACTCTTAAATCAGTTTACGAAATTCTCAAAACACTCCTTATGCCGCTGCCAAGAAAACAATGAGAAATGCTCTTATGTTTTTCATATATATCTGTCAAAGTTATATTTATACGTAACATGGTATCATATCAGTTATTGGAGACCGTATAGCTTTTAGGCAGCTCGTTGAAAGCTCGAACAGTTAAGACATCAGGTCTACTCTTAGGTCAAGTCACCTAAACTCGACCAGAGTTTGGGGACTAGATGATAGGATGCATCACACCAACTATTGGAGCTCGTGTAGCTCAGAGGTAGCTCGGTTAGTTGAACGCAACTGAGTGGCTCGATTAGAGCTCGAAAAGCGCATTACTTTGAAAGCTCGGAACCAGGTCGAAGGAGATTGAGAACCTTGTCAGGTCGAAATAGGACTCTTGGATATTCTAATAGATACTCGACCTGGAACTTGACGTGCTGCACCCAGTAAGGCTAGATTAGCTAGAGGATAGGTGATCAAGATACTTAGCTCGATCAAGCGAATGATGACCACATGAAGAAGCAGAATAATGTGAACGCAAATAGATAAGAATAGTGTGAATACGATTGGATAAGAATAATACAAAGGCAACAGGATCAGACTGATCTTAAACAACACGAAAATATTAGGCAATAAGGTATTGACTCTATATATGAGGGTGTGGGGTACGACCGTCATTATTTTTTCTCTCTATAAACATTATAAGTTATTATACACTATACTTCCACCCCCGAAAACTGACTTGAGCGTCAGAGTTTCTACGTCCGGACTTTGTTTTGCAGGCCATTCTAGACTCTAGTGGTTCAATGACGATTCAAGTGATGTTAGAACAGATCGAGGTTGTTTACCCACCAATACCTTTTACAAATGAGCTCCTCTAAAAGCTATAGGATTCGCCTCATATCCTTTATTTTCGATCAAGATGTAGAATTCAAATTTTCTTTTAGACTTGTCAAAACGGGCCTGGGCCCGCGGGCCAGCCCGCCCCGCCCCGCCAAACAGGTGGGTTGGGTTGGTATTTTATAGGCCCGCCAAACGGCGGGCCTAAACGGGCTGGCCCGCGCGGGCCGCGGGCTTTGGCGGGGCGGGGTGGGCGGGCCGCGGGCCAGCCCGCCATAAAAAAAAAAAAAAATGTAATTTAAGGAATAGGCCCGAACAGATGTAATGTACATAACAGAAGCCATTTGGGATTTGGGCCATTTGGCCCATTTCGTCGCTAACCCTAGTCTCTCACTCTCACTCTCAAGTCTCATCTCTTATTCCTCTCGGCTCTCTCTCAACTCCGGCGTGCGGCTGATCGGCGACCTTCGAGCGGCAGAGACGGCGACGGCGAGACCTTCGAAGCTTCGACTCGAGCGGTGGGACCTCGGCTCGTGTGGCGACTGGCGAGCGGCGAACCTTCAAGGGGAANCGCCCCGCCAGCCCGTTTTGACAAGTCTATTTTCTTTATCACCAAAGATCTTCTTTCCTTAACACTCCTTCAAGAAAATCCTTCTCAGTTCTCTGCATTCATCTTCCATTTCGATCTCTGCAACGTAGATCATTATATCATCTCGAGTATACTCAGGTCCTTCAAAAACCCTAACTCGAAATAGCCCAATATAAGACCTCCTATCAACATCCCAATCTCATACCGAACCCATCTCTATCGGAGGTTAGTGCATATCTTATGGGTCAAATGGACCCTAATTTTCCATCACTCACCAAAAAGTTGAAAAAGGTTTAATCCATGGTAAAACAAAATATTTTCTTCATTACCTTATTGAAAAAAATACACCAATGTTCATGACCAACACAGCCCTTTCTCATGTCCAACTTTACATACCAATGAAACAACAAAAAAAAGTCACCAACTTGTCAACCTATTCCTAAAATCATTCATACAAATTCAGATTATCACAAACAATGTTACCTTACCCTTTTGTAAGCACCCTTTTAGAGAGTGGTCCACCCGAACCCGATTCGGCCCGAACCCGGGAAAAAACCGGAAAAAAAAAAATCTCCCGCCACGTCAGCAAGTCCTCACGAGCTTCGACGTCCAAACGCGCACGAGCCACCCGCCATCCCCGAATTTCAAATCCACCATTCTCCCTTTACCCTTTCCCTCGTTTTTTCGGAAAAAAATATTTTTTCCCACTTTTCCACCGCTGCCCCTCACGGCGGGCTGGGGTAGTAGTCCCTCGTGGGCCCCACCATTTGCCGATGATGAAGCCTCCACGACCTGGCTGATCATTTCGCGGACCTCGCCCATAGTGGGCCGGGCTTTCGGCAAACGGGCCAGGCAGCGGTTCGCGACGAGCGAGAGCTTGTGGGCCGAACGGAGGACCTGTTTACTACCCTCATTGGTTAGCCTGGGATCGAGTATCATCTGGAACTTCTTGGCGTCCGACAAGTACGGTTTTACCCATTCCAGAAGCTTCTGCTCGGACCTCGGCCGGTTACGATCCAGCGGGCGCCGGCCCGTGATAAGTTCGTAGAGGAATACGCCGAAGCTCCAGACGTCGCTCTTTGATGTGAGGCGGCCCGTGTGGACGTATTCAGGTGCAGCGTAGCCTAAAGTCCCAACAACCTGAACAAAGAAATTAAAAATCGAAAGAAAAAGAACTGAGATTAAGGACTGAAATTGCAACAAATTTCAGTCCTACAATTTAATATTTTGCTGCAATTAAGGACTGAAATTGCAACAAATTTCCAAATTTATAGATTTTTTATTAACAATTTAAGTCCTACAATTTAAAATCTTGTTGCAATTTCAGTTTTGTTTAAAATTATGTTGCAGTTTTAGTCCTTTGAGAACTGAAATTGCAGCAATATATTAAATAATAGGACCAAAAGGCAAAAAGTTCAAACCTTAGGACTAAAATTGCTATGTTGTTAAAACAACAAGGCTAAAAATGCATTTT